TATTCAAAAAGTTTATCAGCTTCTTCTTCATTTGCAAGAACCAATCCACAATTGAGCAATTATTCGGCCAATGGATCGACCATGCCACTCCACTTAACGCCCAAACCTGCCTCGCAAACGAACATAAGGACAAACAATGCAACACATCCTCCTCTGCAGCCCCACAAATTTCACATAAACTGTTTTCTAAAATCTTCCGATTAGTAAGATTTTGGCGTGTCGGAAGAAGATTATTACAACAACGCCATAAAAAGATCTTGATCTTATTCGGCAAATTCAAGTCCCAAAGCCATTTCCAAGATCTCGATGAAACGAGAGATGAACCACTTGCAATATTAACACCCGCTTTCTCTTGCTCTAAATGAACCGCGGTATGGTAGGCGCTTCGAACGGAGAATAACCCATTCTTATTGTAATGCCATATAAGTCGATCTTCATTAATCGCGCTTCCAATTGGTATAGAGAGAATACTTTTCCGATCCTCCTCATAGAACATAGATGCAATCATATTAACTTTCCATAGACCTGTATTACCATCAATAAGGCTTTGCACCTTCATATCAATCGGCCAGTTTTCTCGAGGAGTGAAAACTTTAAAAGTTCGTTCTCTTGGAAGCCATTTATCTCGCCAAATGGTCACTTTCGCCCCATTTCCAATTCTCCAGCGTGAGCCTTTCTCCACTAGTTCTATCGCTCCCCAAATACTTCTCCACGTATATGACGGATTAGACCCTAAACCTGAGCCCAAAATGTCCGAATGTGGGTAATATCTAGCCTTAAAGATTCTTCCCAGTAAACTATGTGGAGATACCAACAACCGCCAGACTTGTTTGGCTAATAGCGCCGTATTGAAAGCGTGCAAGTCTCGAAAGCCAAGACCCCCAAAATCCTTGCTTTTACACAATTCCTTCCACCTGGCCCAATGAACTCCTTTGCCTTGACTATCTTCCCACCAAAACTTAGCCATCAACCTTTCGATTTCTTCGGTAAAATATCGTGGAAGTCGAAAGCAACTCATCGCATATGTCGGGATAGCTTGAATCACCGCTTTAATTAAAATTTCTTTCCCCCCTTTTGAAAGCCATTTTTCTTTCCACCCTTGAAGACGTTGGCAAACTCGGTCTCGAATATTCACGAAAGCTTCTCGTTTAGACTTTCCTAACCCAGAAGGTAGGCCTAAATACTTATCATGTTTGTCCACCACTTCCATATTAAGTTTCGAGCAAATCAAATTTACATTCTCTACGCTCGTCTTCTTACTAAAAGCAATGCAAGATTTCGTATAATTAACAATCTGACCCGAGGCCTGCTCATATTTATGCAAGATATTCTTAATGCATTCAGCAGAAGAAATATTAGCATTACAAAAAAGCATAGTATCATCGGCAAAAAGTAAATGTGAGACCTCCGGAGCTGCATTGCAAACGGCCAATCCCGCTATATTGCCGCGTCGTTCTTCTCTTTTAATCAGAGCACTCAAAGCTTCTGCACAGAATAAAAACAGGTAAGGTGAAATTGGGTCACCTTGTCGAATACCCCTTTCCGGCGCAAGAAAATCAAAAGATCCCCCATTAAGAATGAAAGAGTAGGTGACGGTGCACACACATAACATCACCAGATCAACGAAAGCACTGTCAAAACCAAGTCTGAGCATAACCTTACGGAGAAAAATCCACTCGATTCGATCATAAGCTTTGCTCATAAGTCATATCTAGTTTAATAGCCATATGTTCTGCAGGGCTTCGTTTCATGTAATGAACCACTTCATACGCTATAAGAATATTATCTGAAATAAGGCGCGATGGCACGAAAGCTGATTGAGATTCAGAAATAATATCATTCATATGCGGTTTTAGCCGATTTACTATAGCCTTAGAAGCGATTTTGTACACTACGTTGCTCAAACTAATAGGCCGAAACTGGGTCATGTTTTTTGGAGTAGCACATTTTGGAATAAGAACTATGTGAGTGTAATTACCTGCTGTAGGAATTTCTTTGTGATTGAGAAGCCTTAAAACCCATTGCGTAACCTCGTTACCAATTATATTCCAAAAGCGCTGGTAGAAAACCACGGGAAAGCCGTCGGGGCCTGGAGATTTCAGAGGGTGCATCCCGTCGAGCGCTTTTTTTACTTCTACCGCCGTGTATTCCTCCATTAAAACTCCGTTCACTATTGCACTAACTCGAGGCTCAATAGCTTCCAACACCTCATCTAAATCAGCTGTAGATGGGTTACTCGACGTAAATATGGTTTTGAAATAATCGGGAGACGATGTTCTCCATTTCATCTTTTTTCTCGCACCCAAACACCATCGGGATTGCACAAGCCCAGAATAGTGTTCGCTTTCCGGCGAGAGGATGCTTTAGCGTGAAAAAATTTTGTATTTTTGTCGCCTTCTCGTAACCAATGAGCCTTTGCACGTTGTCTCCACATCATTTCCTCTTTGTCAATAAGTTCTTTTAGTTCCTTTGACATAAGGCTAATCTCGGTACCCACATCGTCTGTTAAAGTTTCCCGTTTTTTCCTCACAATATCCTCCTTTAGCTTCTTTATCCGTTTCCTGACTGCTCCAAATGAATCCCGACTCCATCTTACCAAGCCCACTTTACATTGCTCTAGACTATTCCATAGATCACCCATGTCTCGGAAATCTGATGTCGGATGCCAATTCTCTTTAACAACCTGCTCGCACTCTTCAGACTTAAGCCACATAGCTTCAAACTTGAAACCCCTCTTATAATTGCGATGACCATCACTATTTCCCTTCTTCAGCTCAATGAGAATAGGAAGATGATCCGAGAATAAGGCATCTAAATGTAAGACCCGATAACTTGGAAATAAATCCATCCACTCAGAATTTCCGCAAGCTCGGTCTAGCCGTTCTCTGGTGGTAAACGGCTCTCTCCTATTATTGGCCCAAGTAAACGGATAACCGAAATAACCCAAGTCATTAAGCCCCGTTTCTCGAAGACAATCGGCAAATGCTTCCATATTTCTACTGGACGGCAGATTTCGACCACTTTTCTCTGTAATCGACAAGATTGCATTAAAATCCCCGGCACATAACCACGGTTTTGTTGATAATGTTGATAAATGCCTTAATAAATTCCAGGATTGATATTTAAGAGACTCATCAGGAGCGCCATAAAAACCAGTAAACCGCCAACTATCATTCACTTCTTCATAAAAAACATGAGCATCAATGTGATTGATAGAGAAACTTTGTAAGGAAACTTGCACATTTCTTTGCCAGAGAAGAGCTAAGCCTCCCGACAAACCTCTAGCAGCTACACACACACCATACATATCCAAAGAAATTTTAATAAACTCAAATTTTCTACTAGATAATTTAGTTTCTGATAAAAAAATTACATGGGGATTATGAACTCGTATAAGTTCTTTGAGCTCATGAACTGTCCGAGATCCCCCCAAACCTCGGCAGTTCCAAACGAGGCAATTCATAGTGATCGGCGGGGCTGCTCGACAGCCTCCGCCGTTAATAAATTGTAGTTCGACTCATTTGAATCCCGAATCACTAGCTGCTTTTTCTTCCTCTCTTCATCGGAGAAATCCACATCCATAGGGACAGATTGTTTTTTCTTCCCCTTTATAACAGTGCGAGGGGGTGTAGATTTGTCTCCCCCACGTTTTCTTTTAGCTACTGGGCTTTTCACCAATGAGGTTCCCTCGTTAACCATATTTGGTCTTCGACCCCTTCCTCTTTTCGCCTTTGACTCTGCATGAATTTGGTTATTGAAGGTTTCCAGTTGACTCAAATTTGTTATCAATGGACCATTAATTTCCATATCACGTAAGAGTCCTGTACTACCAAAAGGGCTCTTAGAAAACATGGGCCCAGATGTAGATCGTAAACGAGTGAGAACGTCTTCCATGGATTCAACCACTGAATAAACTGATAAAAAATTATTAACCCCAGGTCTCATAAAGTCACGAGGAGAGAGAAGCTCTCATAGAGAGAGAGAGAGAGAGAGTCCTTTCAAATAAATATTCTCACGTAATTAACTATGGATTTAATTTAGGATAAATTACAGCCACGTCCCTGAGATAAGATCAAATTACGAAAAAACCTCTCATATAAGATCGTATGGTGATAATTTTTCAAATTTTGTTTAAAAATTTATCCCAAAATCTTAAAAATCAGATCACAATCAACGGAATATTTGAATTTTCATTTTTTTCAAGTCATGTATATAACAAATAAATAATAAGGGTAAATTACAAACATCCCTGAAGTATGGTCAATTTACGAAAAAACCCATCTTGTTTGGATAATTATATCTACCCCTCAACTATGATTTTTTCTTACACCTCCACCCTTATGGTGTCAGGTTCAACATAATCATCTAGATTCCGTGGAATGTGCTCTAGTTTGTACTCGTTTTGTGTAAAAATACAGTTTCCGATGCACCACAATCTGATATATACAAGCTAAAAAATATATATTAGGATCATCTTGCTTCATAATGTAGAGTTTGAATGGGATAAAACGGGTACAAAAGTGATAATATTCCATATAATCTCGAAGATTCGACTAAATTTGAGGAGTTCAGGGGGTCGTTGTAATTATCCAAACAAGGTGGTTTTTTTTTTTTTGTAATTTGACCATACCTCAGGGGGTGTTTGTAATTTACCCTAAATAATAATATTATATTTAAAGCGTAAATACCGGGAAAAAAAAAGATATTCGAAAATATTTTTGTTAATCAAAATCGAATTGGAATTTAGAATCTAACATGTATCCAGTTCCGTTCTAGACAAAAAATGGAAATTTTGGAAATCCAAACTTTCAAAATTCGAACTAAAAAATATTGTCCCAAAATAAACAGTTTTCGAATTGGAATCGTCGAAAATTGGAAGACAACATTTCCCTAGCTCTTGAAGAAAATCAGATGTTTTTCTTCTTTCTTCATTTATTTTATGAAGGGCGCAATTTAATATCCAAAGCATTGTAATAACTATCTGTTTTTTTTAAATATTTGGTTTAATATTATCTGTCACTTTGAATTTTCAATACTGCATTAAATGTAATTTTCGTGTTTTAACTTTATTAATTCAACTATAAGTATTAACTCTTTCTTATTACATCAACTAGTAATTGTACCCGTGCGATGCACGGGACAACAAATTGCATGTTTTGATGTTGTAAGTATATACACAAGCATTTGATGTATTCGTATGATGAATTTTTTTATTACAATCATTCATTAATAATTCATCAGTGGAACATAGTAAACTAAGTCTACTTACTACAGAAAACAAAAAATAAAAAAATAAGCAAATTTTATCGACAACATATCATCGGAAAAGGCTATCTCTGCATCTTGCATCGTAACTAAGCCCTTCTCCTAACCTTCCATATATTTGTGTCAAGATCAACTTCATGCTTCCCCGACATATCGATTGCATCGACGCTTAGAACTGAAACGATTCACACATAGTAAAATAAGAAGTGGAAAATGTGACTACACTAAGAAGATACCAAACTTATGATCAATATCACAACACAAATAATTTGAAATACTAAAGCACATAAATTATGTTCACCTCAGATAAAGCCAAGATAGCAAGTTTTATAACTAATTGCAAGGAAACTGAAGATTAACAACAATAAAGTTAAAAACTATTATACCTTGCTTGATAATAGCAGTGGATTTCCATGATAGGGTCGTCAACAACTGATTTCCTATTTGCCACTGTAAATAGAAAGCAATACATTATTCATATGTTTTTTATATTAATTATTGAAGAAACTCCTGCCAGTTTACGAAACTTCCGGAAATTGCATCATAGCCACAACAGGGTCAATCTGTAATTATTGAAAAAACTCTTCCCTGCTGTTAGAACTTTCGTAAATTGCAGCAACACCCACAATCTTTATCTATCTTCACAGCTTAAAATTCTTAATTTTACGAAGCTTCTCACCCTGTTTCATTTATTATTTGTGAATCCACCGATTGAAGCATTATGAAAAGGAAAGTCTGTGCTGAATTGGGTATTAAGTCTTTCGATATCGACCTTCCGGAGGACCAAAGTCCACGAATTGATAAAAAAGATGAAAGGGTGCAATACAAACACATGAGAAAAATACAGATGCAAATAAAATGTACAGAGGGAGTCAAAAAAAGGTGAAAGGGAGAATCCTTACCGTATCTTCTGGTTTCACTTTGCAAAATAGCTAAATATGAATGGGTTGAGAAGTTGAGAGGTCGGATATAAATATGAAGAGAAAACATAAACGTGTTGAAGTGGGAGAGAGAAGTTGAAAGTGTTGGAAGTTTTTGGGAATCCAAAAAATCGGAACAAAAAAGATTGAGGATGGAAAATAAATTAAAAATTACAAAAAATATGCTGGAGATAAAATAATACAAAAAATATGCTGGAAATAAAAAAAAAATTACAAAAAAAAAAAAAAAAAAAGAGATTTTAATATTTAGAAGATTTAATTAGTTGTGCATTAGAGATTTTAGGGCTGAAAATTAGGAGCGAAAGTTACAAAAAACGAAAAAGAGATTTTAATAATTAGAAGATTTAATTAATTACAAATATGCCATTAGGGTTTTTCTAGGGTTGTCCAGCGTTTCTTTCTTTTATATATAAGAATAATACGAAAAATATGCTGGAAATAAAATAAAAAAAATTACAAAAAAACAAAAAAAAAAGATTTTAATATTTAGAAGATTTAATTAGTTGTGCATTAGAGATTTTAGGGCTGAAAATTAGGAGCGAAAGTTACAAAAAACGAAAAAGAGATTTTAATAATTAGAAGATTTAATTAATTACAAATATGCCATTAGGGTTTTTCTAGGGTTGCCCAACGTTTCTTTCTTTTATATATAAGATAAATGATCAAGGTTATTCTAGTCTTTTAATGTATATTTCCTAAAATCAAAACACATTTATTGATATTCTTAATTCTTCTGCAAAGCTAAAAACGACAGTTAATTAGAAACAAAGGGAGTATATCTATGCAACTAAAACAAGATAAAAAAATGAAAAATACTAATTTATTATTATTAATTTTTTTTGACAAGTTCATAAACAGATACTGAAATTTAACATATACTTATTTAATAAATAACCTCATAATTTACACCCAAATTCAACATATATATAACAAACATATAGGAGAATAAAGGCTTCACTAATATAAAATAAAATAAATTATTAATAATAATAATAATAATAAATTATGAATAATAATAATAAACAGAGAGGATGATAATATATTATTAAATGTATCTGAATCAAGCCTTGGTTTTGAAAGGA